TTTGTCAATATCCGAATATCCAGATTCCCATATTCGGATAACAATATTCGGATACACATATCCGAATATCAATATCCGGATATTTCACGAGAAAATATCCGGATATTTCGCGACAGAATGCAGTTTCTGCATTTCGCGAAGATATATCCTTCCAAGGTTCCATTTTTAACTCCTACACACGTTAAAGCATGCATTTTTAGGCACATTAAGGTTCATACAACTGTTGGTTACTTGTTTAACTCATTAAACATACCAAGACACCACCTTTAAGCCATAAAAACTCATGGTCAAGGTTGGTGGCACTTACCAAAGCTCAAAACAGAGCAAGAATGGCTCTTGGAGCTCACTACACTTCCTCTACAAGTCTGACCTTCAAGGCACACGAAAATACCACTCAAGCAAGGATCTTTCTTAACAAGGAAAGCTTCTTGAAGCCCAAAATGCCACTACAATGGCTCAACACACCAACTCCCAAAGTCAGCACCCAAAAGCACTCAAGACAACCCACCAACTCAGAAATGGAGCTCACAACACACTCACCAAGGTATTTCCCACTCACCCAAGGTGTTTACAAAGAGAAAGTGTGAAGAAATCAAAGACACGAGGTGGCTTGGAGGTGTCTCATGCAAAGGTGACCAAGGAAGAGAGGGTGGAAGCAGCTCTTCAGAAAATCAACGTAGGAGGCAAAATTTCTGACCTAGAAATGTGTGCCATGGCCTTATATAGGCCACTTTAAAATAAAACACACAGTATTAACTTTAATTGATACGCTTAGCATTTTAAATCCCAAACTCAGGATTCTTAACCTACTCAATTTTACAAGAATTATCATATTTTTCTTATAATTTTCGGAGCACCTTTCTGGTATGCGCTTATCATATTCAGTTTCTGGCACAAGTTCTTATTATTTTGACTTTAAACTCGTTTTACAAGTCCTACATATTATTCTAGTAATTATCATGCACTTATTATAATTTTCCGGGATACTTTTTCGGTACGCATTTATACCGACTAGCAGAATCGGTATCTGCACTTTTCTTCCAAAAAATGACTTTCAGCATTCTTAATCACTTATCATAATTATTAAAGCCTCTTAAGAATTATTAAGGTCAATTAAGGAATCATCTCCTAATTTAACATAATTAATTACCTAATTTCCTTAATTAACGGGGCGGGTTCTTACATTCACCCCACCTTTTTAGGATTTTGTCCTCAAAATCAGAAAACATACCTATCTCGAAACTCGGGGTACTGCCGGAGAAGCTCGTCCTCACGCTCCCAAGTATACTCCTCAGGAGTTCTTCCAGACCATTGCACTTTGACCATCGGAATGATCTTGCTCCTCAGCTGCTTCTCGCCACGCTCGAGAATCTTGAGTGGTCCGACGGGAGTCTTTAGGTTTTCCTGAACCCCCACGACATCAGGTTGCACCACGTGCGACGGATCTGCTATGTACTTCCGAAGCTGAGACACGTGAAACACGTCGTGGATGTTGGCCAAGTTCGGAGGCAAGGCAAGCCAGTAGGCAACAGGTCCTACTCTACCAAGAATCTGGTACGACCCAATATAACGCGGGCTCAGCTTCCTCACTCCGAGTGCCCGACCAACATCGGTGACAAGTGAAAGTCTCACAAACACGTGCTCACCCTCACTGAACTCCAGTGGAAGATGCTTGACATCATAGTAGCTCTTATGGCGAATCTGCGCCTGCTTCAACTTTTCACGGATCATCTGGATCTGCTGGGTGGTATCTTGGACAAAGTCCAAGCCAAAAAGCTCCTTGTCCCCAACGTCAGACCAACAAGTAGGAGTAAGACGCCTCCTACCATACAGTGCTTCGTAGGGTGCCATGCCCAGGCTAGCATGAAAGCTATTGTTGTAAGAAAATTCAACCAACGGAAGGTACCTATCCCATGCCGAGCCCTGCTCCAACATGCAAGCTCGCAACATGTCCTCTAAGGTCTGGATGGTCCTCTCAGTTTGTCCATCAGTCTGAGGGTGATAGGCGGTACTCAATCTCAACTGCCTACCAAAAGCCTCTTGCAGCGCCTCCCAGAACCGAGATGTGAACTTCGGGTCCCTATCACTTATGATACTCTCGGGCACCCCGTGAAGCCTCACAATCTCGCGAACATAAAGCTTGGCCAACTGCTCTATAGTGAAGCTCACCTTCACTGGAAGAAAATGGGCAGACTTCGTCAGTCTGTCCACAATGACCCAGATAGAGTCACAACCCGCCTGAGTCTTCGGCAATCCCACCACGAAGTCCATGGAAATACCTTCCCACTTCCATTGTGGTACTTCAAGAGGTTGAAGTTCACCAGACGGTCTCTGATGTTCAATCTTCACCTTCTAGCAAACCAAACACTTGGACACAAAGACATCAACATCTTTCTTCATGACCGGCCACCAGAAGTTCTTCTTCAGGTCTTGGTACATCTTAGTAGCACCAGGGTGGATAGAAAACTGGCCCTTATGGGCCTCTACCATAACCTCATCGGTCAACGGACCTCGAGGAACCACAATCCTTTGTTGAAACAAAAGAAGTCCATCATCATTCCAAGATACACTGTCTTGGTTCTTCACATAATCTAGACACTCTATCTGAACTTGTGCCTCTTTAATCTTTTCTAACAGCTCATTCACAACATCTGCTGCTTCCATCTCTAGAAGTGCACTCCCACACGGAGCGGTCACTGCCAGGTTTCAGAACTTCTCAATCACATCAAAGTTACCAAGTAACAAACTGGATGAGCTCCCAGGTTTTCGGCTCAAAGCATCAGCTACCACATTGGCCTTGCCAGGATGGTACTTCAACTCAAAGTCGTAATCCTTTATGAACTCCATCCATCTCCTCTGCCTCATTTTCAACTCCTTCTAGTCGAACAGGTACTTCAAACTCTTGTAGTCACTGAACACCACAAACTTCAAACCGAAAAGATAATGCCTCCAAATCTTGAAAGCAAACACAATAGCAGCCAACTCCAAGTCATGAGTAGGGTAGCTCTCCTCATGAGGTTTTAGCTGCCTCGAAGCATAGGCAATCACTTTGCCCAACTACATCAACACACAACCTAGCCCCTTCCCGGAGGCGTCGGTGTAAAGCTCAATCTCGAGCGCAGGATCAGGAAGGACCAACACAAGAGCAGTAGTTAGTCTCTCCTTCAACTCCTGAAAGCATTCCTCACACTCGTGAGTCCAGACAAATGGAGTCTCCTTCCGAGTAAGGCGAGTCAAAGGGAGAACCATCATGGAGAAACCCTTGATGAACCTTCGATAGTAACCTGCCAAACCCAGAAAGCTCCTCACTTCCGTAACTGTCTTGGCCCTCTCCCAATCCAGTACGGCCTCGATCTTGTTCGGATCCACTGTAACTCCTTCAGCAGAAATAACATGCCCAAGAAACTTCCCAGACTTGAGCCAAAACTCACTCTTGGAAGGCTTCGCATACAGCTTCTTCTCCTTCAGCACTTGCATAACAGTTCTCAAATGCTCCACATGCTCCTCCACCGTCTTGGAGTAAATCAAAATATCGTCAATGAAGACGATCACAAACTGATCCAGGTACGGCTGGAAAATCTTGTTCATGTAATCCATGAACACAACAGGTGCATTGGTGATTCCAAACAGAATCACCAAATACTCAAAATGACCGTATCTCAAACGAAAAGTGGTCTTAGGGACATCCTCCGGCTTCACCCAAATCTGATGGTATCCGGACCGGAGATCAATCTTAGAATAAACGCAAGCACCCCTGAGCTGATCCAATATCTGGATAATTTGATGTAATATTTTGGGAAGAGTGGACTACTGTTGAAACATGTTTTAAATTGTTACTTTTAAGATTTTATGGCCAACTAGTAAATTAGGAGATTCTAGTCTTGTTTTGCGAAAAATGATTTTTGAACGTTTTAAGTGCTGATTTATAAACAGATTTGGCGAGCACTTTGCGAGTCATATTTAGTGAGGCTACAGACCTCCGATTCGCCTATAATTTATATGCACGCGAAGCCCCACATGTCTAGTTTCAGATTATATAAACTTTACAATGAAATTCTGAAAGCTAGATTTATCATGATTTTTGTGAGACAGACAGGCTTTTCAGGAAAATTATTATTTCAGCAAACAATGTATTGTGTAAAATTCCACCCTGATTTTTGTAAGCAACCAGATTTCAACTTAAGAGTTTAATTATCTACTTGAAAATGCGTCTTCAGTATTTAAATCAATTCTGTTGCGACTCTAATCCGCTTAGCAGACAAGTTCCTTGGACGCGTACAAGGGAGGGTGTCTGTAACATCCCGCAAGATTATAAAATTCCATAACTTGCAATTAGGAGTATGAAGCATGATTTAAACTTCGAATTAAATTTGGGTAGAATGGGATTAATTTAAGTAGGAAAATTATTTTGCTGTTATGTGAATATTTTAAAAAATTCATGACATTAGTAAAAAGGGGTAGAATTACAATTAATTATAATACAGGTAGGAATTTTAATTACTACCTAATGGGAACACGAATTAATAATTAATAGGTATATATTTTATGTGATAAAGGAACCTTTCTTAAAATAATAATTATTAATGTATTATATGAGATAGGTGACTCATTCAGAAGCTGTTTATTATGTCATGGTGGTTGTGGGTGCTCGTCTTAAATTAAAAATCGAAGCATATATAGGCTAGGAATATGTAAGGTACAACATACGATGAAATCCTAGATAATATTTGTGAACTACATGAAACTATATGGTTAAGTTAATTAGGGTCCAAAGTTCCCTTGGGCCACGGCCCAAATTTTGTATCCCAAGGGGATCAAGCCAGCCCTATATTTTCCTACTCATAACATTTAGCTTATCACTAAACAAATCTCCATGCCTAGCCTTGATTGGCCAAGAGTTGACACTTGTCCAACCTTATCCCTCCAACCCTTGCATGACCGCCACATAGGTCCTCATTTTCCTTGCATGTGTGACACATACTCCTCATCATTTTCAATTACAAGTCCGCCACCTGCACAAGCATAGGACACTTGGACTCTCTCTTCTTATTTTCGGCCCAGCCTTTCTCCTAACCAAGGAATTATTTCTTCATACATTGAAACTGGTCAGCTTTCCTTTATGCTTTAATCACACATATAATTGGTGCTGTTCTCATCCTCTCTAGGCCGTAGGTACTTAGAACAGAACACAAACAAGATTTGTATCCTTCCCTTTTCTCCATTAAACAGTGAACCACTAAGGCTAGAGCCCTCACCCCAAATTTCTATCTTATTCTCTCATTCTTACCAGGCCGTGTAAGTAGGAGCAAGGAGGTGAGGCACCTTCAATACTCTCCTGCTTCCTCTCTTCGTTTCGGCTGCACACCAACAAACAAAAGTGGTAAGACGCTTACCCTTCTGTTTTGTTCTCCCTTCGTAATCGAATCTGTTTAACCTTGGTTTTCTTTCGCTCCACTGCATGCCCTTGACCAGCCGTGGAAGGACTTCCCTTTCCTCTTGCATGCAACTGGATTCAAGCTCTTGGAGCTTAGGAAAAAGTAAGGGTCTGCTTCTTGATAGTTTGGGACCACTCGATGTATAGACAAAAGGTAACCACAATCGATTTCTTATTTTGTTCTCCTACCCTGTACGGCTGCATGTGAGAATAGGAAGTTAGTTTGTTGTCATTCTTAATTTTCTTGCTTCTACTTATTTAGACCGAATTGGACCTAACATCTGCACGCTCCAAGAGTTGTTTTTGAAAACTTGGGACTCTCACTGCTGTCAAGATTGGTGCAGTAACTTAAGTCAAACTTGTCATCCATATCCCGCTATTTATGCTCTCTGTACAGCGGTGATGCTAAGGCATACAAGTCTAATATAAATGAATGTTGTAAAGCTTGAATTATGAACCATTTTAATTCTGTTACCGTTGTCAGTTTAGAAAAATTAGTCAGGCTGCGCACGTACTGAAAAAAAATAAACAGAATGCTTTAGACCCCCCTCTTTAGCGCACACAGAACCTAGGGGAATTGATTATGTAAACCAGAAATTCCTTGAACACTTTTAATTGGTAAGAAACCGAACCTGTGTGAGTTGGAATGTTGGATTTAGTTGCTGTTAATGAAATTATAAATTAATGAGAAGCCAGAAAATTTGGTTATAGCCTTTAAATTGTTGGACTGTCCCTTTTAATTAGAATAAAAGAATTATGCAGCCTTGCATGAATTATGGATAAGTGGACAACATGTGTTGAGCCTCTCTTTAGCGCACCAAAGGCCATGTAACGTTGAAAATATGAATAAACATCCTTAGCCTTTTTATAATGTTGAAAACCGAATTTGCATGCATGTGTAAGTAACTTAGATTTTTGTCAATTAAGGACAACTGGTGAATTAACTCTATGACAGAAAATGTGTCTATTATATGAACTTTAAAACCGAATGGTAATGTGTAACACCCCGCAAAATTTGGGAAATTACATAACTTGAAACTAGGGGTGTGTAGCATGCTTGAAATTCGAATTAGACGTGTGTATGGAGTGGAATTTATGTAAGTTAGGAAAATTATTTTGTGTTGACAATATAAGTGAGTGTAGGTGTGGATTTTAAAAGATTCAAGATACTAGTTAAAAAGGGATAATATGGCATTTAATTACCATATAGGTAGGAACTCTAATTATTAAATTGTGGGTATATGAAATTACATACATTAATAAATGTATAATTAAAATGTATATATATATATATATATTACATGAAATGAGTGACTCATTAGGAAAATGATACTAGACACCTAGCCTTGTTATGCGTTGAGCATAGAAGTAAAGGAAAGGAAAATTTTAGTTACTAGTACTAGTGTCCTAAGTAATAAAATTTGCCACCCCATGCAGCCAATAAGGTGGAGGTAATCCCTTTGCATGTAATATTATTGGTTAAGTAGTGACACATGTCCACTTGTAGTCATCCTTATCCTTCTTTTCATACTTCCTAAGTGAAGAACAAACAATCAGGTTATTTGTTTGTGTCCTAAACCAAGTCAAGTCCACTCTCCATGTGCACAAGGCTAAGGGAATAAATGGGCTGAATGCCTAGTCTTTTAATTCAGAAGCAAATTTGAACATTCATCACACATCTCTGTCAAATTCTCTTGACCGTAAGCCTCTCTAGATGAACACCAAAACTTAATCAGTGTTCCCCTCCTCTCATCCACTCATTTACCCCACTAAAATCGTGAGCTCCATGAGATAAATCAACATGTGAGCCTCTGCCTTTTCCCCATTAGTTGGCCGAATGCAGAACCAAGGAGACTGCAACCTGAAACCGCCCTTTTCTTCTCCTTCTGTGTTCAACGGTATGTCTCCTTCAAGGAGATGAAAGTTTATTTTTGTTGTTTCCTGTCCTCTCTTCCTTAGACCGATTTGGACTAAGCTTTTCCCTTGTTGGAACATGGTTCTGATGTGAGGAAGTCGCACCACTCTTGCATGCAGTTGGGTTAGATTGGAGAGTGTTAATTGGTGAATTTCTCTTGTTCCATTTCTGCTGGACCTTGCAGCGTTGAACTGTTGGGTACTTGAAATCAGAATCTGAGTTGGGAACTTGAAAGGTAATTATTATTGGAATTAGGGATTGTCTTTTGGGATAGTATGAACGTTGAGCTTGCTGGTGTTTTTATCCATGTAGGCAGCATATTAACTTACTTATTAGTTCATGTCCAAATTAAGTAGATAGGCTTTGATAAATGGAAATGGTTCATAGATTTTAAATTCTGCTTTGGGAATGAGGTATTCATGTTATGTGCAATATTGGACAAAATTCTGTTTTGGTTAGATCATGTGCTAAAAGGTTGAGTTACATATAATATTTTGATGATGAATTCTTATGAAATCATGCTATATTTTATTGTGGAGCACCGTAATAATATGAGTTTTATATCTTGCATGGAACTGATTCATTCCTGGTACCCAAATTATTAAATGATCGAAAGCTTAATTCTTCAACAAGTACCGATTTTGTAATAGTAAACTGTGATTTATTTGATGATAAATGTGTAGAATCATGAGGATTGGATATTATGCTAATTAGGTGCTGTATAGATGAGTTTTACTTGAAAGTAATCTGATTGCAATTAGTCTATGTTCCTAAGCTTTTATTTTTAAAAAGAAGCACACCTTTAACCGTATGGGACTTGGTGAATGTAAGTTTTGTTAATTAAGTTGTGAGCTTGTGTTGTGGTGCAAGATAAAAATTGGAACTGCCTTGAGTTAGCAAAATAAATAAATAACCTTGTATGAGAGTAGATAGAAGTGGATAGCATGCTGAAAACAAAATGGATCACGCATAAGGGACATGGGCACTGTTTTGTTAGAGAAAGAATAATGAAATAAAATAAATAATAGAGAACTTTAGATGATGGTCTTAAAACCGAAATGCTTATCCTTGTGAGCTTGGGAAATAGTTTTTATATTGTTGGGCTGCCCCTTGATTAACAAAAATTAATACGGTTTTTCATGTATTAAAATTATATATACAGCATGCTTTTGAGACCTTACAGTGCACCTTAGGAGTAGAGGCCTTTAAATCCAAGGCTGGATATTATGAACTTGGAATTAGCCCATTTAATCTTGTTGAACTGTTTTATGAATTAGAAAGATTAATGGAGTGTTGCATGTGTTATACTTGTGAAGGCAGAATGCTAATGAATTAAGTGACCTTGCCATATAATGTCGAACATGTTAGGAAATTAAAAAGTTTAGGCCCTAGGTGATGACTATACAAACCGAATATGAATGTATTAGAAACCTTGGGATTTTACCACTCCTAACAGTTGGTAGAATAAAAGTCAAAACAGAAAAATAATTAGTACAAGAACTTGAAATCGGAATTGAAACCGAGCCTTGGGGTGTTGGTAATTTTGGGCAGCATGTAAATGGTCTATTAGCTTATGCCTAGGTCAAGTTAGTAGTGCTTTGTTGACCAAAAATAAATGTACTAAAGGAGGGTCTAAAAACCGTGCATGTTGTGTATAGAAACTTTTGGTTTGTCCCTGGCTAAGCCTATAAGAAATTAAAGTAAATCAGAAAATGAACTTAGGACGGGAAGTATAAATTCTGAATGGAATCTTGTGTTTTGTAAATAAATGGAAGTAAAGAAAACCTGTTTGGTATTTTGAATAGGTTCATAAACCTCAAGGATGCCGAATGGACTTGGGGGCTGTTTTTGATTAAAAATGCTAAAGACTCGAGTTATGTGTTAGGTGGTATTACCTAATGTGATTATTAACTAGTGTATGAAGTTGTGAATTGTTGCTCACATGTCCCTAATGATTATCCTGCTATTCATGATGAAACTATTCTGTCTATGGAAATGTTATGATGGTAACTCATTTATGAAAAGAAATGATGGCGTCCCAGTATGGCATCAAAAGTACATGAAGTATATGTTATGATGATGATGATGATATAAGCATGCACTTTACATCATACCGCATCTATTTTTCTGTTTTGTGTGTGACAGCATAGCTTGGCATACGTGCATAAATTTCATGTTGCTTTGGCTAGTAATAATATCTATATAAATATGCATACGATTGAGCACGCATCATATAGGCATACCTCGGTACCAGGGAAGGGGACACTTGGCTTCAGTCCGCATAGGTCCGCAGTTGGAATTCACCTTTATGGGAGCCATTATGGAATATCCACTGTGATGGTGCGCGCACGATGGTGCTATGAGCGCAATGAAAGGCGTTATATACGCATTATGATGAATATGGCATTATATACGCACTATGAAATGTTAGTACGCGCACGAAGGTTCTATGAGCGTAATGATGGCGTTATATGCGCACTATGATATGTTAACGGAAAATGAAATGTTGAGGTGACTGTTTACGATTTGTGCCTAGTTTAATATTGTTGCATTATTGGTTTTGCTATCACACTACTGAGATTTTTCTCACCCCTATGGGGCTGCTATTTTTATAAAATGGCAGGAGGACTCAAAAGCATATGAGGACATGGATTATTTGGATATTTGCTGCTAAATTCTCTTGTTTGGACTTGCTGCTGTAGCTGTTTTATTTGATGGATGACTGTATTATTTTGAGAAGTTTGGATTGACTGTTGAACTATGATTTTATTACTGCTTTAAGACTTTTAGGATCAGCAAGTACTTGGAAATAAATTTTAGAAACATTTTGCGAAAATAAATTTTGACGTATTGTTACATGCTGATTTTTAAACAGCTTTGCGAGCACTTTGCGAGTTGCGTTACAAAGGGAAAACGACCTCTGATTTACTATTATTTTATATGCACACGAAGCCCCGCGTGTCTAGTTTTTGATTATATAAACGTTACAAAATACTTTTGAAAAATTGATTTTATACGAATTTTTAAAGACAGCAAGGTCTGCCAGGAAAAATTATATTTTTAGCAAGTTAAGAAATTCTGAAGGCGTACTCTAATTTTGTAAGGAACCCAATTTCAAGTATAAGTTTTAATTAGCAACATCAAAATGATTTTTCCCTATTTAAAACGGCGTCAAAAAATCTAATTCCGCTTAGCAAACAACTATCTTGGATTCATACAAGAGACGGTGTTACATAATGCATGAGGAAACTTGTATTGTTTCGCTGTTAACAAACTGGTGTACTACCTCAAGTCAGAAATTAATATAGTGTAGAAGCTGTGAAAAACTGATTACAGAATAAGAACTAGCAACATGAGAAATATGGATAAATTATAGGAATAAAAAGAAACAAATTCTGACTTGTTCCGCATGTAACGTAACTCTTATTGAGTGAGCTGAATTTTGGTACTGTTGATTATTGCTTGGACGCAAGGTAAGTGTTTGGTGTTATTACCTAATGTGACTATCAACTAGCGTATAGAATTGTGAATTGTTTCTCACATGTGCCTTGGATTAATGTGATGTTATATGCTATATGTATGCTGCCTATGAATGTGACAAGATGGAAAATCATGAATGAGAAGTAATTGTTATGTGGCAGCTTGGTACAGAAAGTACATGAAAGATATGCTATTATGATAATGATAGTACGGAAGGTACATGAAAGATATGCTATTATGATGATGATCTAGTCATGCATATACACCTCATAATTCATTTGTTTCTTGTTTGTGTGTGAAGCATATTATGGCATACATGCACGAATTTCATGCTGTTCATGGATTAGAATATTTATATAAATATGCATACGATTGAGCACGCATCATATAGGCATCCCTTCGGTACCAGGGTATGGGACACTTGGCTTCCGTCCGCATAGGCCGCAGTTGGAATTCACCTTTAAGGGATCCATTATGGAATATCCACTGTGTATGTACGCGCACGACGGTGCTATGAGCATAATGATGGCGTTATATACGCACTATGAAATGTTAGTACACGCACGAAGGTGCTATGAGCGTAATGATAGCGTTATATACGCACTACGATATGTTAACAGAAAATGAAATGTTGATGTGACTGTTTTATAATTTTGTACCTAGTTTAATACTGTTGCATTATTGGTTTTGCTATCACACTACTGGGATTTTTCTCACCCCTTTGGGGCTGCAATTTTTTTAAAATTGCAGGAAAGCGTAAGAGCATATCAGGACGTGATTATATGGATACTGTTGTTAATTGCTGCTGTTTGGATTGTCTACTGTTGACTATTTATTTGATGGATGACTGTATTATTTTGATATTTCGAGAACTTGGATGAAAGTTGGAACTATGATTTAGCTGCTGTTTTAAGACTTTTATGATCAGTTATTACTTTTGAAAAATTCTGAAAACGTTTTGTGAAAAAAATTTCTGAACGTTTTATTAATTGCTGAGTTATGAACAGTTTTGCCAGCACCTTGCGAGTTGTCGTTCTGGGCCTACAGATCTCCGATTGAGGTATATTTAATATGGATGTAAAGCCCCAGTTGTGTACTTTCAGATTATATAAACTATACAATGAAATTATGAAATCCCAACTTATTATGATTTTTACAAGCTAGGATGTCTTTGGAGAAATACAATGAATTTTTGAGTACTTTACGGGTTCTGTTTCGTGGGGCTATTCATCTCCTATTTGGGTATAATTTATATGTATGCGAAGCCCCAGATGTATAGTTTCTATATATCAAGGAATATTTTTTTCATCTGTTGATTTCGAATTTACATGATTTTTGAAAGACAAGCTGTTTTTAGGAAAATTAGAGTTGCGCAGCGAAAGCCTTTTAAAAATATTTTTGCGATTTTCACTTTTTCAAAGTCTGTTTTCTAGGCAAGCTCTTATAAATGGTAATATGAAAACGTTTTTACTGAACAAGATTTCTACTCGTTAACAATTCGACTCTAATCCGCTTAGCAGACAACTCCCTTGGACGCGTACAGGCGAGGGTGTCACACTATTCTTGTAACGCCCGGCAACTTGCAAGGATCAACGACAGTCCCCACACACTAACATGATACTTTTCAGCGTGCTTTGTCCTCACTCGCACACTTCTCGGGAAAACTTCTCAGGAGGTTACCTATCCCAGAATTGCTCCAAGTCAAGCACGCTTAGCTATGGAGATCTTCCGTTTCGGGCTACCGAAAAGTAGTTGCATCTTGTTAGTATAGGTAGTTCCAATTAATTCTTATAAGCTATTCCCAACTGTATTGTCCCTACCTGCACAGTATCTAGAATCCCTCTCTTTCGGGTGTTGATTCGATTCATTGATGTACCCCAGTCCCTAGAAGCTTGGCAGGAGCCGCTCCTTGTTTGTGCCCTTTCGCACCATGCCCATTCGCACCAACGATCACTCCCCGCCCTCGTCAGCGCCCAGGATGTTACATGCCCACCAGCTTCCGCCTGGTTCGTCCTCGAACCACACCGTACTGGAAGAGAGGCCCTGCTCTGATACCACTTGTAACGCCTGGCAACTTGCAAGGATCAACGACTGTCCCCACACACTAACACGAGACTTTTCAGCGTGCTTTGTCCTCACTCACACATTTCCCGGGAAAACTTCCCAGGAGGTCACCCATCCCAGAATTGCTCCAAGTCAAGCACGCTTAACTATGGAGTTCTTCCGTTCCGGGCTACCGAAAAGTAGATGCATCTTGTTAGTATAGGTAGTACCAATTAATTCTTATAAGCTATTCCCAAATGTACCGTCCTATACCAGCACAGTCTCTGAAATTCCTCTCTTTCGGGTGTTAATTCGATTCATTCATGTACCCCCGTCCCTAGAAGCCTGGCAGGAGCCGCTCCTTGTTTGTGCCCTTTCGGACCGGCGATCACTCCTCGCCCTCGTCAGCGCTCGGGATGTTACAGTGTCACAAACATAGTCCTTTTTCTACAAAATTTCCTGGTTTCAAAATAAATTATCACCTAGCTTACGGTGAAGAAATCCAAGGTTCACAACTTGTTCAGTTTCAGTTTTTATACTTCTGCTAAGGGAGTAAATTTTCTGACTTCATCTATATTTATAAAATTTGTACAGCAACAATACCCAAGGTTTTCCCTAGGTTCCCACATGCATATCTATACGGTTTCGCCATGCTTATTATTCCAACAATTTCTGACTTCCAATAATTTATCCACTTGTTAATAGCAATAAAATTCCAAGTTCCCTATGGATATCAATTCGATTTTCACATATAAAAACTCATGACATTTATTCACAATTTTAACTCTACAAGGCCATGGGTACTTTAAGGAGGACCTAACAACATGCTGACCCACTAAGTTTAATACATGCAAAGCCTAATTAATTTAGTTAGTTCAAAGAATAGTAAGATATTTCCTAAGCTCAAAACAAACAATACTAGCTTGCATGCCTCAAATCCTAGGGCTGTTAGGATAGGTAGAATTAAGGGAAGTGAAGCACCAAAATAATATTCTTCCTAGGTCATGCATAGAGATCGAAACAGTGGTGACAAGGAGGGGGTTAAGGGTTTGGTTTTTACCTCTTCCACACACTACAACTCCCAAATTTACCAATGGAAAACACTCACCAAGTGAGGAGCACACAGTCAGCTTCCTATGCTCCAAAATTCCATATTATTGCTACATGCAAACAGAGGAATGGTTCCATCAAAATCGGGTGGGCGTGTAGAGACAAAAGGGAAGATGAACACCTTACCTTGTTAAAGGGTGAGGTTCGGCCGACAAGGGAGAGGTGGAGATGAATGCTTAGGTACTTTTCTCCCTGCACATGTAGTTCACGACTTGAAGGAAGTGAGGATGAAGAACACTTTCTTGGTTTTCTCTCCTAAGTATGTTTTCGGTTAAGAGGAAGGAGAAAATATGTTCAGGTGCCTTGCTTTCTATCTAAGAAGTTCATGGTTTCAAGGTGAAGGAGGAAAGGGTAGGATAAAGTTTGTGGTCTTTCTTAGTCTCCTCTCAATATTGCGTACGCTCAAGGGGAATGTTGTGTTTTATTTTGCAAAGAATGATCAGCTATCTCCCCCCTAATGTACGCACAAGGAATGGAGGGATAAGGAGTTTGAGTGCTGAACCACAATGACACAAGTGCAGAATTCTTTTTGGTCCTATTGGGTGCATGGCACACAAGGCTGTTTTAGCTTGGATAACTTCACAAGAAATCAGATTTCTTTCATCCATTCCATGTGCATGACTAGGTCTAAGGGTGAGAGAGTTTGCCTTGTTAGGATTCTAGGCCAATGGAACAACATGCAATTGGATTGCTCTCACCTCATTGGTTGCATGAGGAGGCAATGTGGCTGACTTGTAAGTTCACAAAGGCTAGCAAAGATCAGAATTTTTGTTATGTCCCATGCGCACATGTGGAGGGGCAATAAGGATGGGGTTTTTCCAAGTGGTGCATTTTGGCCAATGGGGATTGGATCATGATTCTCTTGGGCTAAGTAAAGATTAGTTAAGATGGAGAAAAGCTTTGGGCTGATTTAAACCACTCCTTAAGGTCCTTAGGGCCGCGGGCCAATCCAAAGGTTTGGGTCCAAAATATAAAATCCAATGGTCAACTACTTATGAACCAGCCCACTAATTTATAAGTTCCCATGTCTTTTACTATTATTAATCATTCTATATATTACAATTAAATTCTTCATATATTTTTAATAAGGGTTTCACATGCCTAAATAGGTACTCACCTATCATTGCAGTTCAAATAATTCCCTAACTTAATTTAATTCCATTCTAGGGCAAATAGCTATATAATTCGCAAGCAAGATATGCATTACTCATATAATTC